ATTGAGCTGAAAAGATGTACTGGTGTGGGGAAAACCAATCCCCCTATAGTAAATGTTCGGGTGATTTCCAAGGATCTGCAAATCAGGATAAACAGGTTGCTCACACATCAAGCCCACCCGGCGGTTCCTGTCGCAACCTTTGGATAGCTTTTCCCAAGGTTTGCAGTGTTATGAACAAGCGCGATGAGCTTTTCTTCATTGCGTCTGACCGGCCAGACGTAGTGGAACTCGAAGAGACATGGCTGCATTCAGATTTATACACCGAGGAATTTGAACTCAATGGTTACTTATGCTTCCGCTGCGATAGACTAACGAAAGCCCGGGGAGCTGTCTTGCTCTACATCCAGTCTTCCCTACGGCCGAAGCCCATAGGTGATGTGTCAATGCAGGATGACCCGGACGGACAGCCCCTAACCTCCAGTACTGAGCGTACGTCCGCATTGGAGGCACACTTCGCTTCTGTATATGCAAAAGTCCAAGGGTCTGTAATGAGTTTGACATGTACTCCTTTTACTGAACTCCACAGTCTGGATTGCGGCGTTGAAGATGTCAGTTGCTCACCAGCCTTGACGGCGCCAAAGCTGCCGGACCTGACTAGTTTCACCCACTGATTCTCAAATCACTTTCGGCCAAAATGTCTCCTGTCGTGACTGACCTTTTCAATAAGTCGTCGTCCGAAGGTGCTTTGCCAATTGACTGGAAATCTTCTGTAGTGAAGCCTATTCCTTAAGCCGGCGACCCTCGCAAAGTAGACAACTACAGGCCAATTTGTCTGACACCTAATTTGACAAAGGTTTCTGAGAAAATTGTAAACAGTGGATTATTGTAATTGCTACAGTCATAGGAGATCTTGAAGACAGCACAGCACGGTTTTATGCAAGGCCTCTCATGCATTGCAAACGCGCTTATGACATGGTATGAGTGGTTGAAGGCAATATACAAGAGGAAGTCTGTCGACCTGATTTGCATCGATTTCAGTAACGTGATCGACAAGATCAGTTATGAGGTTCGCTTTCACAAAAGCAGGATATGCGGTGTCGGTGGATCACTGTACAGGTGGATCCGCGACTTTCTTGTTGGAGGAGGGTGGGGGTACAGGTCAAGGACCAGCTAACAGACTGGTACCCCTCTACAAGTAGCGTGCCTCAAGGCACAGGTTGCGTCAGTGTTGCTCGACAGCCTACAGTGTGATGCAGTTCGACGTGTTTCAGCTACTTATCAACCTCGATGGTTCAAAGCTCTGCGGAACAGACGGTGAGAGCTACCAAGGTAAGTAAACAGCTTCACAAATTCAAGTGGCTGTTCGCTAATAGCTAGAACCGGAGATGTGTCGGTCCAGCCCTGAAGCAGTAGTTTGCAGTTTGAAGGTGCGAAGCACATGCCGAAGCGTGCAGCTCTACGCGTCAGTCTATCCAGTAGTGTTTGCATAGTCACTGCGTCCGACCCAAGTAGGGTAATGTTGTCCGCATACTCCAGGTTTCTCAGTCGGTTACCTGGCAGAATTTCGCTCCGGTGGAGTCTGAAAGTACCGAGAAATTCATGATCATTTAGATCAAAAATTTGAAGAGGAAAGGAGGTATAGATCAACTCTGCCGAATCCCACTTGTCATAGGGAACTCAGGACACATTTTCCTGTAGACCCTTACACGGCCTCTGGAATCACGGTAGAGAGACTCGATAATGGAAAGGAGTTAAGCAGGCTCGCACTTCATGGATAGGCAGTGTCACAAGCTGACAGGTAACAAAGTAGGAATCGGCTTTCAAGTCAAGGAGGACCCCTATAGTCGGTCGTCTACAGGTGTGTCTGCTCTAAAACTTGAGGAAGAGTAACAATATGGTCGATACAATCGTGACCAGGATTGAAGCCGCTATTCATCTTCATCATCATTACACATTAGCTGGAGGTGGAACACACCTCAGCTACTGTGCTGCAATATATAAGAAAACAAAAGAAAGTACATACGACGTATGTATACCAGCTGAACTGCCAGTAACAGATGGGTATGGTCCCGGAAAGCTACCAGCCGGCTAATATGCAGCAGAAATTTACTATGCAAAATTAGATTGCGCTAAGAAATGAGACCGTGGGTGGAGGGGGGCTAAGAGGGAAGGGGGAACGAAGAAACTCATAACACACACGCCATTGAGGTCGGCTCCTAGCCGTGACAACAAGTGTATCCAGCCAAACGCGTTCAACGTCCTTCGGTCCCCAACCAGGGATTCGAGATACTTTAACCGAGGCCAACTTCGAATTGAGGGCCTTCATTCCTCTAGACCAAGTCATCGTTTGGCCGCTTCTAGCTTTTTTCATCTAAAATGATGGCGCGCAGACAACGCACTTCGCGACTAAACCGTTTGAGAGTGGAGCAATGAGACCGCGGTCACGAGTACTGGCGTACGTTAAGTTCAGTTGTCTTACAGTGGGCGTTTAGAAGGTGGGGCAAAGTTAGTTGATATTACTGCTCCTAGATACGAGTTGTCGAGGTCCACCTTGGCAACCGCAGTTGACACAATTGGTGTGCCATTTTCATGTGGATTTGTGTGCGGTTTAGCAGCGTAGCTGTTACGGTTTTCCGGCGGTTTCGGTGTAATTCTGAGGAGGGATAGTTGCAGAGGCGTACGATCTGGCTTAATAAAAATATCTTTGTACTGGGTGCGTGCAGTAATAATATGTTCGCTGTGGAATAAAAAAGCTGTCGATTCTTCGCTTGAAAATTTATAATTGGCTGGACAGCAATGCCTCGGTGTTTTATCTTTCAGTCGCAGACATTTACAGATGACGTCGGACATGTTACAAGCGCTAAGTACATTCGTCTTTACTTTGCTCAAACTGAATCTGTCTTTTTTTCTTTCATGTGCCTGTGAGGCGATGGAATCGATTAGTTGAGCTGGCTTTTTGTGGTGAACATGGTCACATCAGATGGGTTGCTAATATAATCTAGTGAAACTAAGTGATCTTTGAGGGGTTCATAGAATGCCAAAATTTTCTTCATTTCGTCGAGCTCTGATTGCAAGGAGCAGACTTTAGCGCTAAGTTCAGATGTGAGCTGAGAGACCGGAGAATAACAGTCTAGTGGTAGGTTTACGGCATCACATTTTAATCGTTTGGGCCGTGGCATGGAGGGTACATTGTCCTTAGATAGGCGAGGGCGTGTGAACGGTGGGGCCATAGCAAACCAGGTGTCAACAGTCAGATTAATGTGGTAAACGTGACAAAACCAACCTGTTCTAACTTGATTCAATGCACCTTAGTTTCAGATCACACGGTCGACGAAACGTCACAGATTCCGGTGATTACCGATGCGAGTTGTACTCTGGCGAGGGAACTGATCGCGGCCGGGCACGCAGTTGAGACAAAGGCAGGGTATATCGATCGTCACCGACCGAGAGAATTGGTCAGCCGATGCGGTCAGCCGATGCGGTCAGCTAGAGGACCAGAGAGTTGGTGGTGAAGATAAAGAAGCTCAGCTAGTAGTCACAAAACGGACTGCGACTACCGAATGGAATGAAGCGAAATGAAGCGGTGGAATAATTCCTACGCTTTTCGATTCACTGGTAGTGCTAGTAATTCCGATTCGAATGAGTGGAGTTTAGTTGGCGTGTGATAAGGCGGGCTGAACAGTGATTGAAACATGTTTGGCACAGTTTTCTGAGAAACCGTTGGAAGTACTTCCTAGCATTTCTAATGATAGAAAGAGCACACAAGCAGAAATCGAATGGTCTATAATCCTCCGTGATCGGTTGCAATTCCACCTAGAATGCTTACAAATTGATACAGCGTCCGTTTTGCGTCTGCCGCGCGACGTCGGAGCTTTGAGCAAGCCAGCCAATCAGACCGCACACATCCAGCTACTGAGTGGGATCCAGTCGAGCAGAACAGCTTCAGCCCAGGTACTCAGGGCAAGCCAAAACCGGCTCGTCCTGTGCTCGAAGCTGTATAGTCACCGGAGAGGCACAATGAGAATGGCGTCAACTAAAAGGGTCTCCGATAAGCAGCAGATATCAATCGAGAGGGTCTCTACTGTTCAGACAATTGCTGTCTGTTGACCGAGCTGCAGTAATGTGCGTATCTTGAAGCACACTAATTTGAAGGACGATTCGAGAGCTCCAGTTTAAGACGAGTAAGTACCGTACTACACTGGCAAAATGTCAGCTTTCTTGCTAGCTCCTTTAAACTTATACATTTTTCTTACATTTACTGCCTGGGCGGACGACACCTAGCTGCCACTTCGTCACGTAAGTACCGATATATACCATGATGTTGGGGTTTGTAACATTTTACATTAATCACGATGGGTTAGTGGTGCAAAGTAATGGCTACCAGACGCCCCTGTCTCTTTAAACAGACAAGTGTTTGCGCAGGTCGGCGTAGGTGTTTATATTGGTTGCAACCAGTATGTAACTGTAAACTTTTATTAAGGCAACTCGGGTTTTAAGGCCATCTACTTCAGACTCCATAGAAAGTTGCTGGTTGCCCACAGCGCTCCTAAGCAGTTAGTTTTCTGATCCGCAAGGTTATACTCAGAACCCGTGGACAGCAAATTCAGTTCATCCAACACTCAGCAATTCCGTCCGTATACTCATGGAAATTTAGTCTGAACAAATGTTTTATGGAATTTCCGCCGTCAACCACTCAAATGCATCTCTTCAAAGCGCTTCAGAAGATTGTCCAATTTGCAAATTTATTATATATATATATATATATATATATATATATATATATATATTGCCCTTCGTGTGGTGTGTACACATCCTTAGGTAGTCATTTCCAGTTAGTATTGGTAAAACGTAATAATTAGACCTCTCCCGAGTTCAAATATTTTCAAAGTAATTTCAGGTTCCAATTGGTCTTTCAACCAACAGTCCTAAAAATGCATTGAATTCTTGCATAATTATGATTAGGAATTTTCAGTAATGAAACATTAGTGTTCAATCATTCACAATCTCTAAAAATACTTCATGTTAACCAGCATATTATTCCACTTTTTCGCATCTGGCAGAGCCAACGGACGAGAGGCAGATGCCACACAATTTAACGATAAAAACCACTCCGGTCGGTGGGAACATTACCTTCACTTGTGTCATGAGCTCCAATCCTCCGGCGGTAATCAAATGGCTCAAAGATGAGAAGGATATTTATAGCATGTTACCTCAGGGTAAGTATAACTTATATCAAAGCTGTGTTTTTCCGAGAACAGTACCTCTCGCTTACATTCGGATATTTTGAGTTGTCAGGTTCGCCAGTTGTTACTTGGAAACCGACCAAAGTTTTACCTATGCGACGTATTTGAACTCCCCTACTAGATCGATTCACCATCAGTCCGGATGGCTCGACCTTGACTCTGTTCAGTGTACACCTGGAAGATCAGGGCGAATTTAAATGCGTGGCTGTCAACATTCCCGGATCTTGGAACTATCGTTACACACTGGAAGTTACTTGTAAGTGTTTGCCCCCTAGACACATTCAGTATCGGGACGGTTTCCGAGCTTTCTTGACATCCTCCATTGTCCTTCATCATTTTCGATTTTCAACATTTCCTCAGCTTCCCCGGGAATTCTGCGGCATTCATCAACCAGTCCTCAAGTCGATGTAAACGAAGGGTCGGAATTACGACTCCAATGCTTGGCAACGGCTAATCCTGAGCCGGTTTATCAATGGCTCAAGGATGACACACCGCTTACACTGCGTGTGCTCGCATTGGGAGAAGAAGCCATCGATGTGAATACCTTGCGCTCAAACACGACCGCTGTGAGCAGTCGATTCTCCCTTCACGATAACGGTCGTCTGTTGATTGTGCGAAACATTCAAGCCAACGAATTCGGTCGATACACGTGCATTGCGAGTAACCCGGTTGGAGAGGATCGGCTGGATATCGCTGTCACAGTGTCATGTGAGTTAGTGTGGTTTGTGCGCAAGAGAGTAAAACCCAATTGTCTCACCGTTTTTATAGAAAATAACGCATTTGCTAACGGAAACTAATAAAGTGTCCACCTGAACACTAATATGTTATTTGCCCAATCACAGTATCGGAAATCTGAGAGGTTAAACAGGAATATTTACCATTGGGGTAAACAACTGTTTTTGTTTAGTGTGAACCCTGCAGTCGTAACAAGTTGTACGCTGTGAGAGCACATACTTATGGTTATATTACTGTGTCTTCCAGGTCGCAGTACAGGCATATCACAAAGGGGATCTGATGTAGGAAATTTCAAATTTGATTGGCTACTTGTGAATATTAGATGGAATTGCGAATAATATAACTCCAAAGATCAATCAGACTCTCTTCATCGGTAGCCTTTCCCAATTTGAGGCCAGTCGAAATTTTCGTCGCTCCATTCCTACCTGATTGTTAAAGTCACCAAATACCATTAGGTGCTCCATGGAAACATGAAGAAGTTGCACTCAAAAGCGAAGCTCTAAATGTTTTCCCCGTGAACCACACAACAAACCATTCGTTACCGTAGTTTTAAGCACCTATGGGTCCATCGGAGCTACCGACTGATAGTTTCCACCTTCCACAACTGACCTTGATGTGTGGCACAGCCTTCGTCAACCTCTAGCTCTCCGGCATGTAGTTTGCGGATGCAGTTTCCCTTGAAGAAAATGCAAACACGATCAACCAGTTAGCAATGTGTGACTTTTAAACGGCATCATATTAGAGGATTTAGCTATATGAAACCTTTGCCAATGTTCCTCATATAGGCTGAACTACTGCCACTGCTCGGAGGCACTCTTGTACAGTAACGCCGGGTGTAAGCATTATCGCATCTACGAAATGTCAGTGGGTATCAAACACCTTTGCACCACTATTTGCTTGAATTTTGCGAATTACTTCTCTTTAACGGATTATGTTTTCATGCGCCCACTTTCTTCAGCTGCTCCAAGCTTCGCCGATGACAGGGACCATGAATCTCCCATGTTTGAGCGCGGCAAACCATACGAGCTCTGGTGCAATGCGACAGGGCATCCGACTCCAACTGTCCATTGGGAATATGTGAGTAGTCTCTCATGTTTACTCATGTTTGTCTATCGTCTATAACTTCTCTTTGGCTTTAGAAGTCCGTATACCAGGAGTTTGCAGTACACTTACTGATGCCACGTTGTTGCTAACCCCAGCTGAGTAGGCGTGTGCAAAGATTCATTTGTCGCTTCGTAATCTTTTATTTTCGGACATGTATTACACATATTAATGCCATTTTAAATACGATGTTGAGGGTCATTTTGGGCCAAGCGTTGCCCATCGTGACCAGGTGGTTTAGGGGTAGCGGTCACAACTAACAACCCAATGGTCCCGGGTTCGATGCCTGCTAACTCTATTTGATGAGATGTAATAACATTGAAACGCATCATGGTAGTGCAGTTTTCAGGCAGACAACACCCAAGTACCATTTCGAGTATTTATGTATTCATTACGGAAGCCACTCCGTCGCCATCAGCACCCTTATCATTGCCTTATTTCTCCCCTTTTAAGCGTAACACTAGTTGGATCATATAACGGTTCTGAAACTTTACCCTTGTACTTTCATGCCGCCAGGACCTTCCCGTCAGCGGTCCAGGAGATCGGAACATTGAAGAACGACAAAATGGTCATCAGCTATACTTCCCGAACGTGGACTACGGTGTGATCACACGATACTCCTGCATCGCAAAGAATAAAGCCGGTGAAATCAGGAGGGTTTTTGATCCTACTCTTGTGTGTAAGTGCATGCCGATTCTAACTTACTATTTGTTTTCAAGGGAGTGGCATGTGTCGAATCTAACGTACTTAGGAACAGTTAGGCGATTAGTACTTTCCAGAAAAACACCAGATATTCGTTTCACGACTGACGGTACTCGTCAACAATAAACATTTCCTTTGTATGGATAGGATCTAGAAACCGTAGGCAGAAACTTGAGCCGTTAGACCTCTGGCGCGAGAGTCTAGTTAAACTGGTGAAGGCCACGGTGTAAGCATGTCCTAAAATCTCTCTTCACTTGGTCAGGTCCCATAAGGCAGGGAGTTTCTCTCGGCACGTGTATGTTATTTCTGCTCCTACATCTACTGTGTCCAAAGCTCGTGCCGACAATGAGCTGGCAGTATTACATCAGACCATGTGAACCTCATAAAGCTTAAACTAAAAACACCGTTTTGCTGTGGAAACAAAAAGTGACAGCATTACTAATTACGTCGAAACTTGTGTGGACTATTCGGACGGACACATTTTATTAGCAAATTCATTGTTAAGTGGTGTTTTTCTTCCCTTTCTGAAACCCCGACTAATCATCAGGTGGAACATGTTATTCTCCGGTATTTTTATGCACAAGCTGTAGACACGAAATGGTTAGGACATCTAGTTAACAAGGTGGATGTTCGTTACTCGAGAGACTGGTATTTTCCCTTTTGCATATTTTGTAGCAGCTGATGGTCATAAATGTTGGTCCAAAGCTGAAATTTTCAGTTAATTGTCTGTTCCAGAAATAAACACACTTCATCCTACGTAAGGCGCATTGAGACGCCCATCGGTTGCTTGTTGACCAGCGAATGTCCACAAACGCGAGGGTGATCTTCATACACTGTAACCGTTGAGTCTGGAATATGTGGTAGCGATTGGGGGAAACCATATTCCTCTCATGTAAAAGTCGGCAGAAACCAGGTGGTCTGATATGGACAGGAGGCACAATTTGGGTTCAGTTCCAAGTACCACAGGCTCAACGCCCTAGTTGGAGACGTAAACATTGACATATGTACTGCCTCCACGTTGGCTTCTTCCAGCAAAACATTAGGTTATGGATGTTCGAACATCCTAGTAATGGTTTAGCAAATTCCGTACTCCCAGTTCTGCCATTATGGCAGAGTTTTGTTATACTATTAACAGCTTGGGTTGCCCAATTATTCCGAACTTAGTTGCCCCCAAAGCACTATGATTCAAGTGTAGTACGGTTTTCCTACAGTTTGGTCCAAACGTTCAAGGGGTCTGAAAATATCGCATACATCTTGTGGCGCCGGTTAGCAATGTCCAAGTTTTCGACGCATCTCCCGTGGGTTAGCTTGTGCTCATGCTGCTCTGTTCCAACAAACCACTGGTACTTGAATTACGGTGATATCTAACTTAATTACTAAGTGGACACATTCCCAGCAATTAGGGTACAAGCCAGATAGGCATCAGACGGCCGTTTCGTCTTCTCGGGACTCGTCAGTGGTACGCATTCCTTCGGTCCCCTATAGCGAAACGCTGCCATAATCGCTAGTGATTAACACCACTAGCCAGCAGGTTATTCCACTAGAGCCATAAGAAACGATGTTTGGATGGGGGTGTCATACCTGTTGCCCACGCATCTCGGACTACAGAGACCACCAGCTTATTTCAGACCCGGAAGGCCGCCAACCCTACAATCTAACCACTGTCGACCGAAGCCAGCATGTAGATCAACCCCTCTTTGTCCAACCCCCACGCGGGTTGAAACAGAAACTGTGAACGGTAGTGAACCATGAACCTGTCACGTGATGTAGGGCCGACTACGAAATTATGCCTTGCACCCACCGGGATCTGCCACTTCAAAACCGTGATCAAATTGCTCAACACACAGTAGCGGGGGTGCCACAATCTGTAGATCACGTGGTGTCACTGCCCTTCAACTCACTTGAGCAGCACGATGCCTGTGGGGATGGAAGACAATCATCATGTGACAGTCTAACAGACAAGAAAACCCGTTGGCATGCACCGGTCAGGCCGCGCCGAGGATTTGAGCAGTTTGTCGGATGGTTGTGTGCGCTTCAACATTGGTACAGGATGAGATGATCTACCTCTACGCTGACTGATATGCGCAGGAGGAAACGATGTTCGCCCACTGTAAACCTGATGCAAAGATTGATATAATCTTCACCCCACTCTGTGTTTGGGTGATCTACTTTACGCACTTTGGTGAACATAATTAATTAAAACTGACTAGCGGCACGGAAAACTATGGAAGTATCAAGAAGCCATTGACACAATTATTGTCATGATCGCACCATCAAGACACAATTTAGTTTAGAGTATATTAGTATAGCTTATATTGCAGCAGGATTTGGTAACATACCCTGCTATACCAACAAATAATAAGGTGGTTTAGGATGGTGAATTGAATTTAAGCATAATTGGATGTATTATGCTACTTCGTCCTAACCTGTGGCACTACGAATTGGTTGCTTGTTTGGCAATTGGGTCACCGTTGATGAAATCCTGACCGAAAACCCTGTTACGTCGGTGTTGGACATTCGCCTTGGACTGTCCCATTCTCCCAGATGCCAGTATTTACACACGTCACGTTGAGTTCAGCGACCATTTTGAGAAAACTGCTGTCGTTGCGCACCCGCACTTCCCACGGATTCGACAACAGTACCCCGAAAGCGCTGCAGGTGGCAGCTACCAGGATAGCTGAACCATTAACGTGCTTTTTCCAAAGATGCCTGGACGAACAGCAAGTCCCTAGCATGTGAAAGCAAGGCATCCTTACCCCGATTTTCAAAAGTGGTAGCCGTTCACAACCATCCAACTATGCTCCTCCCGGAGCAGTGATGGAATCAATCAAAGCTAAGGCTGCAATGGGATACTTTCAAAGTTCGAATATCTTAGCACTTGAACAACACGGATTCAGTCAGCATCGGTCAAGTACTACCAACATACTGCTTGCCCGTGGCAGATGGACCGAGATAACCGACAGTTGGACCGGCATTGTTTTCATCTACCTAAGCTTTTCCAAATCATTCGACTACATAGATCACCATATCCTTCTCCAAATGCTGCAAGCATACGGTGTTGGAAACCCTGCATTTGGATGGATCGGAAACTGCTTCCTTCAGCGGCGCCTTCAGTCTCGAGCTCAAGGTTCATTTTCTGATCCAATCGGCATGAACTGCGGTGTTCCACAAGTGTCGGTGTTGGGGCCGCGGTTATTCCTGTTCTACATTAAGGAACTTGCAAGTGTCATCTGTGATGTTAGTATCAGATCAGAGTGAGCAGGTGGACCAAACGAGCGAGCCAGCCAGACAATGAGTGGCGGACATGACGGATTCAATTACTGGACTCGCATTGGCCCAAATTCGTGTGAGTGATTTACCGTTTGTTTAACTGAAGCAAAGGAAGAAAATAATCGACTCAGAAGGGTCGTTAGTTATAGACATGAACCTGCAATTTATATCGAGGAGTTTGGCCTTCTAAACATTCTGCAATTTTCGCTTAGCTGTCTTTACCAAATAAACGCTTGTCCCTGAAGCATTGAGTTCTGCAACATGATGTCAGCGAAGACAAAGATCAACCCCACTGGCGGCGCGCGGATGCTGTTTTGATGACCAACGTCTATTCACATGCTTGCTCCACTGAACATGGATGAACGGAACTTGTCGAGTAATTGGAGTCTATGGAAGAGCAAGTGGGAGGATTTCTGCACGTTTGCACGAACAACCCATGGCGTATCGCTTGGCCGTGTTTCGACACGAAGCCGGGGATGACGCGCCGTGTTCTAGAGACATTGCACTACAACAAAGGCGAAGGTCCCAATAATTTTGAGACGGTTATTGGAAAGTTCAGTGAATTTTGTGAAGGTCAAAACAACGAGACCTACCAGCGCTATATTTTCTTTTCGCGCAACAAAGACCCAAACGAATCAATCGACGCGTACATCACTGAATTGAAGACTTTGGCCTGATCCTGTAATTTCTGTAAATGCTTGGGCGACAGTCATATGCGCAATCGGATCGTTCTAGGAATCAATAATGAAAGTACGACAAAGCGGCTTTTGTGACAACGCATTGATATCCGCAACTTTGAGTCCTCGACCACCTATCAATGCCAACAAATGAGGCGCGCACCAGATGCAGAATTGTGTGCGGTTTCCGGAGGCGAAGCGACGACGGCTACTAACGTGAGACAGGAGATCTGCAAATTTTGCGCCACGCGACATCCGAGCACCCGCGAACAGTGTCCGGCGTGGGGTAGGAAATGCACCAGATGTGGAAAAAGGAACCACTTTACTCGTTTCTGCCAATCAACCAACGTGAGTGCGGCTGTTCGTGACAAGTCCCCGACAGATGCAGAACCTTCAATTCTCAACGTGTCTCGGAGGGTACCGCAAAAAATGTGTCCACACAAGTCTTTTGATCGAAGGCAAAGTCGTACGATTCCAGTTAGACACAGCTGCTACTGTCAACATTCTACCAAGGAAGCACTGTCCTGGAGTGTGCATTTGATCCGATCAAGATTGCCTGCGTATGTGTAATGGTTCCAGACTTCATCCGAGGGGCTCAGCTACAATCGAAGTGGTTAACCCAAGAGACGGATCCTCACATCGACTGGAGTTTGTGATCGTGGAGGAGGAGCTCAGGCTGCTTCTCGGCATTGAATCGATCCAGTCCCTCGGTTTGGTTGTTTTTAATCATGATCATTTTGTGCATGTTTGCCAAGGAGAAACCGATATTAGTGACCAGTATCTGGATGTGTTTAGCCCAGGTTTGGGAAAGTTTGAAGGTGCCGCTCACTTATCCTTAGATCTTTTGATACGATCGACAGCGCTAGCGGCTAGGAGAGTTCCATTTGCAATTCGTGACAGGTTCATCCGTGACAAGTTCATCGCTGGATGGAACAAATCAATGAGAGAGGCTGTGATTGCCAAAGTCCACGTGTCAACCGACTGGGTTAGTCAAGTCACAATCATGACGAAGAAGATGGGCGAACTGCGT